TTTAAATATGTTTTGAATTTAGACCCAGATGTTGTATGTCTATGGGGTTAGGGAAGGGAGTGGGGGGGGGGGTTAACTTATGGAGCAAGGTTGGCAGAAAATATTTTCACTAATGTCAAGTTAATTAATCTTTCCCACCTTTCCTATGAACTCTTGAACAATACGGGTCACCTTGTCTCGGGGATTTAGACGGAACATCAATTGGAATGAGATCACTAAGAAATAAGGGAGCTTTGATACTGACACACGTGTGGCTTAATATAGTCGCTTTCAAGCACAAGGGGGCTATTCCGAAAAATTCTGTTTTGAGAAAATCGAAGGTAACGTTTTTGGATCCTTGTTCAGTTTCTTTAAAAGACAGGGAGAGTTTCCTCTATAACCAAACAAATATACACACCAATGAAACCAAACTTCTCCTATAGGTAGGACAATGCCCACTTTTGGTGTAGGTCAAGATTTCTGGAAAACCCTAGAAATTTGGGTTAGCCCGCTTGTCCTTAAAAGTGACCTTATAGCAATCTTGTACAATAATTATTCCGACTTGCTCAAGGAGCCAATGTAAAGCAATGTTCTCAACTTGGGAGTAATGTATTTTCATTTCTGTTGTTCAAGTATCTGTAGATCTACTACAAGCCCATCGGCAGAGTTCTGAAAACGCCGTAATTTCAAAAGAATGGTACTTATTATGTTGTAGGAGAGTTGCTTAGAAGAGCTGTGCGGTCATCGATAAGTGAAAACTGGAAATATGACACGAGAGTTTTCAAAACTTATTCGGGGTGCCCATTACTTCGGTCACAAGTTCACGTCAGCGTCCATTGTTGCTTTGTTACAGATTAGGTAAACAAAACAGTGACCAGTCACCTCACACACGATTTGTGCATGAGTTGTGGGCGGGGCTTATAGGTTAAGACGGATCACACGCTTCCCTCACCAGCAGCTGAAAATGTATTGTTAGGCCTACCCATTGGTCAACTTGGGTAAACATTCATTGGAGGGACTGACAATAACGACAGGTGAATGAATTATGACGGCCCGTCCACAGCGCCAGGGGCCGATTCAAAATTTATGACAAAGCGTCGGGCGATGAGTGACCTTCGAGGCAGCTACATTTCACTGTGGGTTGATCAAATAAGGTGGCCGCGGCCGCGTTGGACAGGTGACCGTTTTACACAGTACACTTATACAGAAAAAACGCAAAAGGGGGGGGGATGGAAAGTGGCCGTTTGTACAGGTGGCCGTCTTGACAGGTTGGACTGTAATCCATGTAATACTATGTCCAATTCTACGAAGTTCTTTACAGAGCTGACACATTTTTCCTCGCGTTCGGTGTCTGTGGTGTAGATCTGTCTGTGGTGTAGATCTGTCTGTGGTGTAGCGGTTAGGCGCTTCGCTGTCTCTCACTGGTCACTCGAATTCGATTCCCGAAAGTCTCTGTCAACAGGGGTGGAGGCCGCCTCCTTAACTGTGTCAACGGATTTGCAGAAACACCTACGATAAAAAAAAACACCCCCACCCCTCAAACCCCTCAAAAATAAAATTATTTAAAAGTCTGTAAATTATTATT